TGGGGGGGTTTTATTGGGGTTTGGGGGGGTTTAGTGGGGTGTAATGGGTTTAGTGGGGTTTGGGAGGGTTAGTGGGGGTTTGGGGGGGTTTAGTGGTGTTTGGTGGGGTTTTTAGTGGGGTTTAGTGCGGTGTAGTGGGGGTTTAGTGTGTTTTATTGGGGTTTAGTGGGGTGTAATGGGGTTTTAATTGGGTTTAATTTGGTTGAATTGGGGTTTAATGGTGTTTTATGGGGTTTTATTGGGGTGTAATGGGGGTTTAGTGAGGTTTTTAATGGGGTTTAGTGGGGTGCAGTGGGGTTTTTGTTGGGTTTTATTGGTGTTTAGGTGGGTCTAATGGGGGTTTAGTGGTGTTTTATCTGGGTTTAATGGGGTTTTATTGGGGTATTACTGGGGCTTAGTGGGGTTTACTCTTCCTCCTCCTCCTCCTCCTCCTCCTCGTCTTCTTTTCCTTCTCTTTCTCCTGAGCTTCGTGGTCCTCCTGCTCCCCTTCTTCCTTCCTAAATCCTTCTTATCCCAAATCTCCCACCACCCCGAGAATCCCCTCAGCCCCAAACCCCCAAATTTGGGATCTCTACCAGCACCTTTTAACCCCTTCTCTCCCGTTTTCCTGCGTTCCCAGCCTCGGGCTGGGAGCCGTGCCGCAACACCCGCTGCGAGTTCTGCAGGGAGTTCCTCGGGAACCCCATTTCCCTTATCCCACATCCCTTTCCCAGGAATCCCCTCAGCCCCAAACCCCCAAATTTGGGATCTCTACCAGCACCTTTTAACCCCTTCTGTGCTGTTCCCAGCCTTGGGCTCAGAGCTGTGCTGTGACACCCGCTGCGAGTTCTGCGGGGAATTCCTCGGGAACCCCATTTCCCTTATCCCACATCCCTTTCCCAGGAATCCCCTCAGCCCCAAACCCCCAAATTTGGGATCATCCTCCCCAACAGCACCTTTTAACCCCTTCTGTGCTGTTCCCAGCCTCAGGCTGGGAGCCATGCCGCGACACCCACTGCGAGTTCTGCGGGGAGTTCTTTGAGAACCGCAACTTCTCTTATCCCACATATTCCCACACATTCCCTTTCCCAGGAATCCCCTCAGTCCCAAACCCCCACCGGCACCCTTTAACCCCTTCTCTCCCGCGTTCCCAGCCTCGGGCTCGGAGCCGTGACGCGACACCCGCTGCGAGTTCTGCGGGGAGTTCTTTGAGAACCGCAACTTCTCTTATCCCACATATTCCCACACATTCCCTTTCCCAGGAATCCCCTCAGTCCCAAACCCCCACCGGCCCCCTTTAACCCCTTCTCTCCCGCGTTCCCAGCCTCGGGCTCGGAGCCGTGACGCGACACCCGCTGCGAGTTCTGCAGGGAGTTCCTCGGGAACCCCATTTCCCTTATCCCACACCCCTTTCCCGGGAATCCCCTCAGCCCCAAACCCCCAAATTTGGGATCATCCCCCCCACCAGCACCTTTTAACCCCTTCTATGCTGTTCCCAGCCTCAGGGTGGGAGCCATGCTACAGCACCTTCTCCGAGTTCTGCGGGGAGTTCTTTGAGAACCGCAACTTCTCTTATCCCACATATTCCCACACATTCCCTTTCCCAGGAATCCCCTCAGTCCCAAACCCCCACCGGCCCCCTTTAACCCCTTCTCTCCCGCGTTCCCAGCCTCGGGCTCGGAGCCGTGACGCGACACCCGCTGCGAGTTCTGCAGGGAGTTCCTCGGGAGCTCGGGCCACCCCAAGCCCCTGGCCAAGAGCCTGCTGGCCGGGCTGGCGCCGCTGGAGCCGCCGCGGGCGCCGCCGGAGCTGCACCTGCCCGGGCTGGGCAAGAATGAGTGGTGTTGGGGTTTGTCCCGGGGCTTTGGGGGGTTTGGGGATCATCCCAGGGATTTAGGGAGTTGGGATCCATCCCAGGGCTGTGAGGAGATGGCGCCGCTCAACCTCTGTGAGTGGTGTTGGGGTTTGTCCCGGGGATTTGAGGGGTTTGGGGATCATCCCATGGATTTAGGGAGCTGGGATCCATCCCAGGGAGCCACTGGAACCATCCCAGGGCCATGAGGAGATGGCGCCACTCAACCTCTGTGAGTGGCGTTGTGGTTTGTCTGGGGGATTTGGGGAGTTTAGGGGTTTTCCTGGGATTTGGGGAGCTGGGATCTATTCTCCGCTCAGCCTCTGTGAGTGGTGTTGGGGTTTGTCCCGGGGATTTGGGGGTTCGGGGTCATCTGAGGGATTTGGGACCCTGAGTTCTCATCCAAGGATGTTCCTTCCCTCCCTATTCCCAAATTTCCCCCCTGGCAGCCTCCCGGGTGGACCCGGTGTGCGATGTCCGCTGGCTTGGGGCTCATCCCAGGGATTTAGGGACCCAAAATCCCATCCCAGGGGGTTCCATCCCTCCATAATCCCAAATTTCCCCCCCTCCAGCCTCTCGGGCTGACCTGGTGCGCAACATCCGCTGGCCTGGGGCTCATCCTGGGGATTTTAGGGATGCTCTGAGCTCCTCCCAAGGATTTAGGGACCCAAAATCCCACCCTGGGGGTTCCATCCCTCCCTAATCCCGAATTTCCCCCTCACCAGCCTTGCGGGCGGACCTGGTGCGCGACATCCGCTGGCTCGGGGCTCATCCCGGGGATTTTGGGATGCTCTGAGCCCATCCCAGGGGGTTCCATCCCTCCCTAATCCCAAATTTCCCCCCCTCCAGCCTCTCGGGTTGACCCGGTGCGTGACATCCGCTGGCTCAGGGGCTCATCCCGGGGATTTTGGGATGCTCTGACCTCCTCCCAGGGATTTAGGGACCAAAAATCCCATCCAGGGGGTTCCTTCCCTCCCTAATCCCAGATTTCCCCTCCTGGCAGCCTCCCAGGCAAACCCGGTGTGCGACGTCCGCTGGCTCGGGGCTCATCCCAGGGATTTAGGGACCCAAAATCCCATCCCAGGGGGTTCCATCCCTCCCTAATCCCAGATTTCCCCCTCTCCAGCCTCGCAGGTAGACCTGGTGCGTGACATCCGCTGGCTCAGGGCTCATCCCGGGGATTTTGGGAGCTCATCCCAGGGATTTAGGGACCCAAAATCCCATCCAAAGCGCCGCCGGGGCCGGCTCCGGGCAAGGCGCTGCCCCCGGGGCTGGCCCTGGGCAAGCCGGGCTCGGGGCTGGCCCTGGCGCCGCTGGGCTCCAAGAACGCGGCCGGAGCCTTCCTGGCCGCCAAGAGGCCGCTGGGCGACGAGAGGCTGGGCGGGCACGGCGAGGCCAAGCACAAAGCCTTCGAGCTGGGCTTCAAGGCCAAGGCCCTGCACGACAAGGCCTGTGAGTATTGAGGGAAAATCATGTGAATTTTGGGGTTTTGGGGTGTTTTTGGGATGGTTTTGGTATGGTTTTGGGGTGTTTTTGGGATGGGCTGGGCGGGCACGGCGAGGCCAAGCACAAAGCCTTCGAGCTGGGCTTCAAGGCCAAGGCCCTGCACGACAAGGCCTGTGAATGCCATGATGAAATCACGGGAATTTTGGGGTTTTGGGATCTTTGGGGTGTTTTTGGGATGGTTTTTGGGATGGTTTTTGGGATGCTTGGCATGGTTTTGGGATATTTTTGGCATCGACTGGCAGCATATGTTTTTTTCCTATTTTTTCCTATTTTTTTCCCCATTTTTCCATGTCCTCCCTGCTGCGAGCTGTGCGGGCTGT